CATAGTCTCGGGCAGCCCACAAGGCACAGCCCTGCTCTTTCTGAGATGTCTTTCCTGTGCCAATGGGCTAGTCCCACAGAATGGTGCCTGTCGTGATTTGGCGTCCCAAGAGCTCTGTAGTGAGAGTGAGATGAAAGGTTGGTGGTGCAGAGTCCCAGCCTCAGTAACAGTGTTCACAAGAGCTACACTTGGGCAAGAGGCCTAATTATGTAAAGCATCTGCCTCAGGTGATGCTGATAAATGAGCCTGCACACAGGGTGAGAACAGCAGCTGGGAGACTTCTGAGTGAGGTGCCGGGGATTGCAGCCAAGAGGCTCCCCTGCTGGCGTCACCCAGCAGGCAGAGCTTAAGGATCACACAGCCTGCAGATTTTCTTTGCACGTGATATCATGTGGTGTGAAAGCATAACCACTTTGTGGTTGCTCATTTTCTTTTTTCTTTTTTTTTTGAGACAGAGTCTTACACCGAGGGGTAGAGTGCTATGGTGTTACAGCTCACTGCAACCTCAAACAGGTGCCCACCACAATGCCTGGCTATTTTTGTTGTTGTAGTTGTTGTTTAGCAGGCCTGGGCCAGGTTCAAACCTGCCAGCCTGGGTGTATGTGGCTGGCACCTACCCACTGAGCTATGGGTGCTGCCTGTGGTTGCTCATTTTCTGTATATCTTGGTGGTGATGAGGGTTCATCTGTTGACTCTGCTGTTCTGGATTTTCACCCTGGCTGGGGCCTCTTCCAAGGTAGATGGGGTTCCATGCCACAGCGCTCAGCCAGCCTGGGCTCCCTCTGTGACTATTCCATGGGCTTGGGTACTGGGTCAGGTGGTTCTTGCCTTCTGTACCACCCACCTCAAGTTCATGGTTTCATGTGTTGCCAACTTGGGGGCTCCATTGGGGGTTCAAAAAGCTGTTTCTAATTACTATGCTTTATAACAAAGAGATTTGTTTTTATTAGCAGCTATGCACAGTTTGAGGGGAGAAAAATGCTGTCTTTGTATCCCCAGAACCCAAATGTTTCTGTGTGCTGCTGTCCTCTAGGAGGACAGCCCGGTGGGGAGAGCCCTGCCTTCCAGGGCTGTGGGCTCACGGGCGCCCCCTGCCCCCAGCCTTCTATACCAGCAGATACGGCTACAAGATGTGTCTGCGCATCTACCTGAACGGCGATGGCACCGGGCGAGGGACACACCTCTCTCTCTTCTTTGTGGTGATGAAAGGCCCGAATGACGCCCTCCTGCGGTGGCCCTTCAACCAGAAGGTGCGGGAGTCCTGCAGGATTCCCTGTGGGTAGCACTGGGGAGGTCCTTGGGGCAGTGCCACTTCTGTCTGGCCAGGTTGTCCAGGACAGGGCCACCCAGGCTCGCTGGACCTCGGTATCTGCAATAGGTGCTTTCTCCTGCGGCACTGTCACTGCCAAGACCAGCTCTCTGAAAACACTACCTTGGAGAATCTGTTTCTAAGGAAGGGAAGGGTACAGCTACTGAGCCCTCTTTATCTGAGGTGTAAGTCAGTGTTTTGAAAACCATAATCTATTTTTAGTGGCAGATTTGAAGACCTGGAGATCAGGATGAAGCAAGGCCCTTTCCTTTCCACACACTGAGGCCTGCCCTGGGTAGCTGGGGGAGGAAGCCAAGCAGTGTGGGTGGGGTGAGTGGTGGGACCTGCATCTGTCCTGGGGTGCCCCGTTCTCAGCCTAACAGAGGCCATCTCAGGCTCTCCTGGGAGAGTGCTCCCCTCTGGGCTAGGCATCAGGGGCTGTGTGATCTGTCTGTCAAGAAAATGTCTATGTTGGGCCATCAGATGAACATTATTAAGAAAAAGCACAAAATGACACAAATTCAGAAGTGCCAAGCTTCAGCCTAAGATTCCAGATATCAGTGGGCAGAAAACGCCAGATGGGCACAGATTGCACAGGCAAGATGCTCTGGGCACTGTGGCTTGCATGCCCAGGTCCTGTAACCCTGTGGCCATGGCCTTGGCCTTGGGACTGGGGCTGGCACATGTGTGACTGTGTGTGTCCAGACCTGTGGAGCTGGTGTGAGGGTACTCATGGGCTTGTGTTCCTCCCTGGGGCTCTCCCCTGCAGGTGACCTTAATGCTGCTGGACCAGAACAATCGGGAACATGTCATTGATGCCTTCAGGCCCGACGTGACCTCATCCTCTTTTCAGAGGCCAGTCAACGACATGAATATCGCCAGCGGCTGCCCCCTCTTCTGCCCTGTCTCCAAGATGGAGGCCAAGAACCCCTATGTGCGGGATGATGCCATCTTCATCAAGGCTATTGTGGATCTGACAGGGCTCTAGTCACCACCTACCAGGGCTCGGGGGCAGTCAGGCATAGCCAACTCAGTGAGGGGCTGCCCACTTTACTTCAAGTCAGGGCCTCACCGCATGAGGTTGGTTGGGGGCTGGGCTTTGGTGCTTGACAGGCTGTCGGCCAAAGGCCAGGTCAGCATCACACAACGGAAGGGGCCATTGGTCAATCCTTAGATTTCAGAGACTTCGTGGAGGGTTAAGGGAGATGGGTTCAGCCTGAGGCCCTGGTGGGATCAGTTGAGGATCTTAAAGGATTTTTGGCAGTAACTGCCCTCACTGTTCTATGAAGGAAAGAGAGGCCCCTGTGGGGCTCTTGGACAAGAGCACATTCCACAAGGGGCTTCAGAGCAGGGTGGCATCAGGAGTGCAACAGGCAGGTCTCTCTGTGCTTAGCAGGTAGGGCTTCCCCAGGCCATCCACAGAGCAAGGAAGCAGTGCTATCCAGTTCTGCCCTCTGGCCCCTAGAGAGAAGGGAACATGTTAGACCTCTGTGTGCTTGTCTGGTGCTGCGGAGCTGGGCCAGTGGCCAGAAGAGGGTGCTGGTCCCAGGCACAGTCTCGCCCACTGAACGGTGTGTGTGAACTGCACCCATCCAGCCAAGACACCATCATTAAACTGCTGAGACTGTGCCATGAGTGGTGTCCATTCGGCTCCAGGTTGTCTGCAGCTTCTAGCAGTGGCAGTGGTGACTCTGCGAGAGCCCCATGGCTTTTTCTACTCCCATGGATATTGTCTCATGGGGTGCCTGGCCCCTGCCTGCTTCTCCAGACAGCTGGGCCAGTCTACTCTGTTCTGTCAATACTCTTGTGTCTCCCCATCCAGCCTTGAAGTTCATTTTTTCCTTCTTCCTGTCCAGCTTCTCTCACAGGGTTCCTGTGAGCAAGGCCACACACGGCCCACCTATCCTGGGCCCAGGCCACTGCAGAAGCTCTGGAGTTACAGGTGGGGTGAGGATGGGCTGTGTTCAGGATTCTGGGGTGCTTTGGTGACCAGGGCGCAGTCTTGGGACTGAGTACAAGGGTGTGCTGGGCCTGGTGGGAGTCTTCATTAGGGGTCCAGGAAAAGCTTGACTTCCTCTTGATGTCCTCACTCTGTCCTACAGTCTGAGAGGTGAACAGGGTGGAAAAGTTTGGAGAACAGCAGCCTCAGCACCAGGACGACCCGGATACACGCCTGCTCTCACTGTGTGTGCCTTGATAGACGGGAGCCCAGCAGCTGTCACCTAGGCTCCCCAGGGCCGCTTGTCCTGATGTGCATTCCTATCCTACCTGGATTTTTACGGTTTTTGTATGTTTATGTATCCACAGATAAGAGTATTGTGTTTTAAAAGTATACGGAAGTCGTACACTGAATTGTCCTAAGGTAGCTGTTTTCTTAGCTCCCCAGTCTGTACCCCGCTGAGCCCTGTCTTGAGGGTGCTGGCCATGAGAGGCAGTGGCAAAGACTAACTACTCTTCTGTTTTTTTGGTTGGCCTGGAAGGAGAGCTGAGGGGTCCTTGCCTTTCCTAGGGGCTGTCAGCTTGCTCTGCAAACTAGCAGGAGGGGAGGTCCCAGTTGCCTCCTGCCCCCCTGGCAGTTCACATTGCTGGTCTCTGCCTTATGTCTCTAAGATGTGATGGTCTTGTCATTGTGTCTTGCCTCTCCCTGATGACTCAGTGGAGTTAGACATCTTTGTCCAGTTTTATTGCTCACTTGAAATCTCTCAATCTCATGTGAATTGCCTTTTTTTGTTTTTGTTTTTGAGATGAGATCTTACTCTTGCCCAGGCTGGAGTGCAGCAGCACCATGGTAGCTCACTGTAACCTCGAACTCCTGAATTCATTGTTCCTCCCACCTCAGTGTCCCAAAGTGCTGGGATTACAGGTGTGAGTCATCACACTCAGCCCTGTCTTTGTTCATTTTTCTACTGAGTTGTTAGTCTTGTTTTCCTGCTCATTAGTGTAAGAGTTCCTAATATTTCAGGATACTAGTTCTTGGTTTTGTCTTTGAGCTATATTTGAAATGTAAAATTTAAATATGGTCAGTTGAATGACCTTAACCATTGTGAATGGTGCTGTTTCCAACTTAAGAAACCCTAACCTTCCCATAGGTGAACGTTACTGTCATGTTTTCTTCCATTGGTTTTTGTTTTTTAACATAGTTGGTTTATATATTTGGGAATTTAGTTGCATGTGACTTTTTACTAGGACAATGCAAGGCAAAGAGAGATTATTGAGATCATTCCCTTCCCTGTAAAATGAATTAGAACTGTGAGGTGGAAAGAATAGGAAAGTGTCCTCAACAGTAGATGAAGGATTTGGGCCTATTTTGGAAGGTGGGAGGCGTTGGGGCATGTGGTAACTGAGCAGAGGGGGCTGAGGGTTGAGAGTTGCAGAGGGGAGAGTCAGAGCAAAAGGGGTCTGGTTTGCTCAGACTGGGCAGAACAACCACCAGGCCAGGTCCATTGCTGTCCAGTACAGCTGGTGGTCCCTGTCTCCTGCCTCCCCAAAGCAGAGAGCAAGGTTGGCCTTCAGGCTGGAAAAGGGGCAGAGGTCTGCCGAAACTTGAAGTACCCACTCCAGGTGAAGACATTTGTGGGAGTGGTTGGTCCTGGGGAGACAGAATGCATCTGGGCAGGCCCATAGCAGGTGTGGTCTGTTTACATTGAGTTCTTGGTGATTAGGGAGTCATCGTTAGTAATTGAAGGACATTTCATCACCCCTAAAAGAAACTGTCCATTGTCAGTTACTTGATTCCCCCTTCCTGGCCCCTAACAACTATAAATCTGTAGTACTTTCTGTTTGTGTGGATTTGCCTATTCTGGACACTCTTATAAAAAGAATCCAATAATATGTGGCCTTTGGTGCTGGCTTCTACTCAGCATATTTTCAAGTGCATCTGTGTTGTAGTATGTCAGAATTCTGTTCCTTTCTTATGGCTGAGTACTATTCTGTTGTATGGATAGACCAGATTTTTTTTTTTTTTTAGTTTTTGGCTGGGGCTAGGTTTGAACCCCCAACCTTCAGTATATGGGACTGGCACCTTACTCCTTTGAGCCACAGGTGCTGCCCTGATAGACCAGATTTTATCTGTTTATCTGTCAGTGACAGTTGGGTTATTCTACTTTTTTTGGCTAGTATGGAAATCTGACTGCAGACACGTGTACAGGTTTTCGTGTGGTCACATGTGTTCAGTTCTCTTGGGTATACCTGGGAGTGGGGGCTCTGGGCTGTGTGTCCAGTTTTGAAGGAACTAAGGTGTTTCCCACAGTGGCCACACCACTTTGCATGTCCACCAGGAAGCAGCTTTAATTTGTGCTTGCATTTGATCTCCTCCTCCCATATCCTTCACATTAACAATTATGTCATATGTTTTCAACACTAATAATTTTTTAAAGTTTCACCGTTGTTGCCAGGATTTTGTGTATTTATTTGCTCACAGCTGCTCTGTGTCTGGCCTTTGTCTTCCATGACTTGAGAAAGAATATCACTTAACATTCCTTGAGGAGTTCTGGGTGCTGACCTTATGGGTGCTGTGTGTCTCAGGTGTCTTTATTTTACCTTTTTTTTTTTAACAGAGACTTACTATATTGCCCTCGGTAGAGTGCTGTGGCGTCACAGCTCACAGCAACCTCAAACTCTTGGGCTTAAGCCATTCTCTTGCCTCAGCCTCCCAAGTAGCTGGGACTACAGGTACCTGCCAAAATGCCCAGCTATTTTTTTTTTAATTGTAGTTGTCATTGTTTAGCAGGCCCAACTGGGCTCTAACCCGCCAGCCCTGGTATATGTGGCTGGCACCGAGCCTACCCTTATTTTTAATGGTGATATCTGAGTGAGAATTCTGGATGGATGATCATTTTTTCTCAGAAATTTGAAGCTGCAACCTACTGTCACTTGGATATATTGTCAGTGTAATGTCTGCTGCTTATTTGTCTTTTTTTTTTTCCCTTTGAGATGGAGTGTCTGTCACCCAGGCTGGAGTGCAGCGGTGTCATAACTCACTGCAGCCTCAAATTTCTGGGCTCAAGGGATCTTCCCTCGGCTTCTCAAGGTGCTAGGATTACAGGTGTGAGCCACCAGCCTCTTTTTACAGGTAAAACGCATTTTCTCCCTAATAACTTTTAAATGTTTTGCGTAGTAGAATTGGATTTTTTTTTTTTTTTTTTTTTTGGTGTTCAATTCTGTGAAACTTCACACTCATACAGATTTTACACTCTCCTATAGTCAGGACAAGGGAGGGCCCCATCATCTTGGCAGACCCCTCTGCCCTCCCTGTGTGGCCACCCCTCCCCTCCCCACCACCTCAGGCAGTACTTCTCCCATGCTAGTTTTGTCATACAGACACCACAGTACTCTACCAAGGGTGACATAGTGAGACTCTGTCTCAAAAAAAAAAAACAGATGGTGTCTTCAGCAGGGTGTGACTTTCTGAGACTGACCTTAACTCAGCAGGATGCCTTTAGACTTGCAGATAAGTGTCAGAGTCTGTCCCTTTGTTCTTGCTGAGCAGTGCCCCCAGTCACATGGATGGGCCCTGCTTGTCACCTATTTTGTTTTGTTGAGAAACAGATTTTCTTCATTTTGTATGTATAAGAAGACAAAAATAAAGATATACTTGAAACATCTACAATTAAAGGTAGAAGAATCCAGCTGTTTCTGTGCTGGGCTTAATGCATGTATTTAAACCAGTATAATGCAAGATGTTAAGTGATTTAGTCAGTATACTCAGCCTTTTAAAAAACCTTTTAGAATAGATTAGATGTTTTCTAAACATCTAAAATGCTTTATAGATCTTAGAATGTTTTTTGGTGCCTGCCAATATAGATTTTCCACATCCAAAGATAAGCGCCACAATTCGTGGTTTTACCATCCTACAAGTACAGCCAGGAAAAAGTTTAGGGTCATAACTACTGAACTGCTATCTGGGTTGTTTCTGGTGTTTTGCAGTTATGAACAGAATTGCTATATAGCTTTATATGCAGGTGGTTAAATGAGTTTGCATTTCACTGGGGTAGTAAGGAGTAGGGCTGCTGGTTCGCACAGTAGTGTCTTAAATTCACAGAGTGCCAGACCACTCTCCAGAACGTGGGTGCCTTTTGTGTGCCTTGTGGGACACCATTGCCAGTCCCAGTTCCTGCTGCTCCACATGCTGTAAACACTTAGTACTGTCCTTGGTTTTTACTGGAGCCATTGCAAGGGGTGTGTAGTGGTGTCTTGGCGCTCTAGTCTGCATCTTTTCAGTATCTGATTCATGTTGGTAAAATGTCTGTGTGTCTTACTTGTTTTTATATTGGACTGTGTGTTTTCTTGTTGCGTTTTAGGACTATTTATATAATCTAGACCAGGGGTCCTCAAACTTTTTAAACAGGGAGCCAGTTCACTGTCCCTCAGACTGTTGGAGGGCCG